AAAATTATATGGTTGTAGTGATGTCGACAAAGTCGATGCTTTCCACGACCAAGTGTAACTGTGTCAGTGATCTCACAAAGAAGGAGGTCACAAGGTGTTAGTGCAGCATGCGGGGGAATGAAGACTAAAGCAGGCATGGTGACAGACATGGAGGTAGGCACGGAGACAGACACAGAAACGGGCATGGAGACAGACACAGAAACGGGCATGGAGACAAACACAGAAACGGGCATGGAGACAGGTGCGGAGGCAGGCACAGAGACAGGTGCAGAGGCGGGGACGAAAGTACACGAGGTGCCTATAGGGTCAGTAATCTGGAAGGAGACAGACATAGAAACAGGCACAGAGACAGATACGGAGGCAGGCACAGAGATAGGCGTAGAGGCGGGCGTGGAAGTACACGAGGTACCCAAAGGGTCAATGACCTGGCGCAGTTCCAGGTTAGGGTAATTACGCACGAGATCACAGATGGCAGTAATAGTTTGCACCATAGCACCGCCATTCCATAATTCCCAAGAACCAGAGGCATGGACAAGAGCAGTGTAGTGGCCAGGAGTATGTAGAATATAGGCATAAACGTGCGAACAGTGGTCCGGGTCGTCGCCCGAAGGGGCACGCTGCATATCAAGCCGGCGCCTTATCAAAGAAGTCTCCAAAACAGAGACATTGAATCCCCCATGTCGAGTGTAATTACTATCCTGTGGGGGATGCAGAGCCGGGTTATCGCCATCTAACTCACGTTCCTGAGCATCAAGATCGGAAGCAATGGCCAGGAAATCAGAGTGAGTATATGGTTCCAGACGATAGGCTTGTAGGCGGATGTTAGTAGCAGCAAGGCCACACAAATTCGGTGGAGGCCGGTCAGGCGGATTTTCTACAGAATCTCCTACAGTCCCCTTGCCAAGTTCATCCTCAGATGGTCCCTCGCCATCATCCCTCCCGTTTAGTGTTTGCCGCGTTGCAGAAAGGTCTGCAGTCGAAGAGCGCTGCAAGCGTGGTAAGGATGCTTAGGGCGGCAAAAGACGGGGACGGGATGTTGGGAAGGGTCGTGGTGGGGAGAATGAACGGGTTCTTCTTCGTCCAAGAACAGAGATGGAGGAAAGGGGAGTAAGCTGAGGTTGGGAAGTAGGTTGAAGTCGGCATCTAGGACGGCGAAGTAGGCTTTCTGCAGGGGCAGAACATGATGACGAAGTCTGTGTGGACGAAGTGGTTTGTGGATTAGGAAGAGGGGTAACGGATGGAGACAAAACCAGGGGAGGTAGGAGTGGTGAAGACAGGGGTGGTAGAGTAGTCGGAAGGTGGGTAACCGACGACGATAAAACCAGGGGAAATAAAGGCTGTGAAGACGGGGGGGATGAAGTCAGGGGTGGTGAAGTGGCTGAAGCAGAGACAGGGGGGGCAATCGTAGGTGAGACTCGAAGAGGGGACTCTGCAGGTGGTAATGCAGGCATGGCCACAGATGCCATGGAGGAACGCACCGAGACCAAGGGCGACACAACAGATGCGGTGGTATATATATATATCTTCCTTGTGTTTAACACCTCTTCCTTCACTTTGCCTCTTTCCCATAGCGTGCAAGTGCGTTGTTATGGCATACGAGGATGGGGGCAGCTCACGCTCAACTTCATCAACGTGGCGAGCCTTGTACGTTAGAGGCATAGTGGATGAGGCGTTAAGAAGATTGAGAAACTTAATGATTTCAATGTGTCCTTGTTTTTTATTTTTATCCTTTGATTCAGTGTAAATTATTTTTGTAAAACACTGAAAGAAATAATAATACTGTGAAACAAAGAATAAGAGGACACTGTTTTATGTCATTCTGGTTTGTCTGTCTCTTTGCCTGTCTGTCCTTTCATTTTTCTTTTCTTCGCTCATCTTATTTCTTCTTCTACTTCACGTGCTTATATATATATATATATATATATATATATATATCGTCACAAACAGAACTGCCCGGTAAACCGTACGCAGAGAGAGAGACGAGGACAACAAACGAGGGGCTGTGACAAACTGTTTCGTCGGAGTTTCATCGACTCATCATATATATCGTCACAAACAGAACTGCCCGGTAAACCGTAGGCAGAGAGAGAGAAGAGGACAACAAACGAGGGGCTGTGACAAACTGTTTCGTCGGAGTTTCACCAACTCATCAGGAGGCTGAACCCTCAACAGTCTGCAGAATCCCC